GGGATATCATATGCTCGTATAACTTTATACCACCAAAACTTTATTCGCGAGTTTCTTTGTACTCTTAATAATATCGTTATCGTTGAGGATCGCATATCTGAACGGGCCTCCGGCGAAGAGACAATAAATTACCGACGTACTACGATAAGAGATGGTAGAAGAAAGAATTGGAATAATGGAAAAGAAAGAAAGAAAGAAAGAAAGAAAAAAAGAAAGAAAGAAATAAAGCAAAGAAAAGAATGAATGAAAGAAAAAAAAAAGTTAGAAAAGAAATAAAGGAGAATAAGATAGAAATAAAGAGAAAGAAAGGGAAAAACGAATTTTGATCGTTGATACATATACTAGATACTTACATTAGGAACTATGGTAGAGAATCGTAATAACGATTATATTCGTACGGGGGTTTGCGGAGAGAAACCTTCGAAGCATCCAGTATAATACTTTAAAAGTACCATAATTGCGGCAGAGTTCCTACCAATGCGAATGGAGGTGATAACACAGAGGGTTGAGTGAGTGAATGAGAGAAAGAGAGAGAGAGAGAGAGAGAGAGAGAGAGAGAGAGAGAGAGAAAGGGAGGAAGGGAGTGAGAGAAGAACGAGGAGAACGAGGAGGAGGAGGAGGAGAACGGCGAGGAGAAAGAGGAGGAGGAGGAGGAGGAGGAGGAGGAGGAGGAGGAGAAGGGAAGAACTGCTCAGTGTTTGGAAGATCAATAGTCGTTTTGCAACGACGTTAGGAGTACTCGAGTGTGTATTACGTACGATATTTACCAACGAATACAGCAATTTTATTCAACGCCTTTATCAGAGTTGATTAACTCTCTTCTTGGTAATCTCCGACCCAACCTTAATGTGTGTTCAACGCAGATGAGACGAACGTAATATTTTCTTAAGATGGTAATTTCTCGCATTTTCTCATTCCCTTTAAGAGAAGAAAATTCTCTTAATTTCATACGGTGCCATGACACCCTTATGTTAAATTTCAAAATACGAGCCCTTTTCCTTCCTCGATTAACGAAGATTATACACGGTTCTATGTACCTTTCTGACTTTGAGTTCATTCATATTCGAGTTGGTTCTCGTCCGATTTCGAGAAAATGACGAGAGAGATAGAGAGATAGAGAGAGAGAGAGAGAGCGAGAGAGAGAGATATTCGTGGATTTATAATGAAAGGAAGAGGGATCCTGATTGGCTATCGTATGTACATAGATATGTATGCTCATACATACATTGAAATTGGTGATACTCGACGGAAGCGTAAAATAATGAACGCATAGCTCGTTTGTTAGCACGAAACTAACAACGAGAATGCGTTCTTAACGAGGAATTAAACGTTATCAACTTGGTACACTTGACGAATTATATTATTGTTATAGATATACATAATAGATACACACACATACATACATATATATATATATATGTATATATAACAAGTAATATCAGGTTATTATAAATAAAAACGAATATATTATCTTCGTAATTTATCTTTCGTCCAAATGCACAATTCATTTTTCCTTCTATTCTCTTCTTTTATCTCTTTCGTTCTCCTTTTATTCCTCTTTTTTGTTCTTTTTCTTTTATTGTTAGAGAAAAAAAAAAAAAATAAAAAAAAAAATAAAAAAAAAAACGATTTCCTTTTAACAAAAGAACTGGCGAATCTATGCAAAACGTATATCGAATATGAAGCCACGATTATTCTCAAGATTTTCATGGTTACAAAGGGAAAATCATTTGAAAAGTTTTATACGAAACCATGAGTAATAATAACCCCGGTAGATGTGTACGTATATCTATGCGCACATATGCGCTAGCGCGTGCACCCATACGCACGCACAGACACACACCTGCATATATATATATATATTATATATATATATATATATATATATATATATTATATATTATATATTATATATGAGCGAAAGCGTGGAACAAACGAGCTTTTCATTTCTTTTGGCCCTTGATAATATAGCCGAATAACCACACAGCCAATTTCGTTCGTCTAATATTCCGACTGTTGCGCCGAGCCGGACCAACGCGCGCAATTTGTTCCGCTAATTAATTGCACGACTTTAGATGAAGGATAGCTTGCCCAGCCGTATTTCTCTCGTTAATGGACGTCGCACAATCAGCCGTCCAAGGCACTATGCATTTCGCTAGGAACAATGCGTTTTCATCCACTCTACCTTTACCCTATCCTCCTTTTCACCTTCTCTCCGTCGTACCTCCCATCCCCAACCCTCGTCCACCCCCAACACAGTTCCCCCTATCCGACCTTCTACGAATCATTAGCGGACTCTAAGCGCGCGAACCTGAAAGAAGCAATAAGAAATTTCCTTTCGTAGCGATAAAAGAAAAAATTTTCATCATCTGAAACGAAATCGTTTCTCTTATTTCGCATGGTGGGGGTAGACGTGGTAGAGGAGTGCGGGGTGCGGAATCAAGATTTATCCCCATTACAAAAATCAATTTGTAAGTAAATTTATACTGTTACATAGATCGCCAAGATGTATCATGTAATTGTAAGAAAGTACGGTCAGTATGTGTTTTACATACATTACATATTCATATGTATCTGTTATATGACGTAAGAAATGAAAAAAAAAAAAATAAATAAATTTTTTTCTTTTCGTTTTCTTTTTTTTTTTTGTTGAAATAATAAAGAAAAATAAAAAGAAAAAAAATAAAAACTCACCTGCAAGTAACCGCCCGAACAAGTCGTAGCATTCTCCAATACGCCAACTTTGAATTTCTTAAAACGTACACGAAGAATCCAATCTCTTGGTGTTCCACGAAAAGCACGAAAACGGTACCAACAATAAAGTGGTTTTCCCATGTTGGCAGCGGTCACTGCAGGACTGGAAACATCCTCGTAGATGTCAACGGTCTTGTTACAGTGACCACGGTCCGCTAAAATGAAAAGTAAATATATATCATTGTTAAAAATCGTCAATTCTTTTTCTATTTCTATTTTTTTTTCTTTTTCTTTTCGTTCTAATTGAAACAAATTTTCATTCAAATTATAGATAATAGATGTCGAATATCGATCTATTTCATTTGATAATAATTCATAACATCAAAAAGTAATTAATTAAGATCATGCATACGTTTTATCTATATATTATCTTCTATCCTTTATCATATATATATATATATATAAGACATGTTAATAATGAATATCCTTTCATCCCCCGTCCACTTTCCTCCCAACCACACCCCCAAATAAATATTAAGAATACTTAATTAAATGTATATTCGAAAATCATATTATTTTGATCGACGACTATCTCGTTTATCTCCGTTCGACGAAGTTAAAGAACTTCAAGAGAAAAATAAGGGAAGGGGAATAAGTAGGTAAGAGGGATAAAAAAAAACGAAATGAGAAGAGAGAGAGAGAGAGAGAGAGAGGGAGAAAAGAAAGTAAGGGAGAGAAAGTCTGGAAGCGAAGAAGAAACGATAGTCGATCATCTTGTTGGGCGACACTCATAATCCCCATCCACTCTTAACCAACCCCTCGTCATGTATCTTTCAGGCGACCTCTCAGAGACTGGTCGTCATTACTCGAGTTCCCTTTATGTCATTGTCATTGTCGTTGTCATCGTCATCGTCGGTTGATGTCTGTACCACATATTACGAAGAATAAAGGAAGAGATAGAAAGATAGATAGATAGATAGAAAGAAAGAGAAAGAGAGAGAGAGAGAGAGAGAGAGAAGGTATCTTGGAGTTGTATCAACGAGATCATTCAAGGAGAAGTGTCCTATTAAAATGAATATTACAAAAGAAAGAAAGAAAAGAAAGAAAGGAAATAAAAGATATAAGAAGAAAAAAGAAAACAATGAAAGAAATACATAAGAACGTTAGATTTAAGGGAGAAGATCGAAAGAAGGGATGAATGTTGGGTGGTGGTGGGCGTTGGGTTAGATGTAACAAAGAAAGAATAAATTTGTAAAATAAATTTGTCGCCCGTCGAGGCTCACAAATGTCTCTATTTTTCAAGAGAAAGATAGAGAAACAGAGAGAAAAAAACAGAGAGAAAGAGAAAGAGGGGGGCGGAGGAAAAGAGAGAAAGAAGAAAGGAAAGAGAGAAAGAAAGAGATAGAGAGAGAAAGAGAAAGAGAGAGAGAGAGAGAGACCAAAAGACGCTTAATCGATTCGGCTTTTGCCGTGTTTGCCACGCCGCGAGTTATACCTATATATGGTATGGAGTGAGGGTGGTTGGAGGGTTGGAGTGTGAGGGATCGAAGGTAGGAGTAAATTGTTATTGATTTACCGTCTGTAGGGTCTCGCATCGTTTGCTACCAAATATAAGAATCGGCCCAATATATGTTGGTATACATACATATATAATACATATATATATATATATATACATATGTATGAATATATATGAATATATATATATATATATATATATATATATATATATATATATACAATATATGTATTAGTATACCTACTATTTCATACTTTATCTTCTTCTTCTTCTTCTTCTTTTCTTTTTTCTTTTCCATTTTTCTTTTTTTTTTCTACTCTTCTTGTGATAACGAAGACTCGAAGAAAGAGAAAGCGAGGGAAACTGGGAAGGAAAATGCGCAATAAGATTCGACTTTGTGTATCGACTAAAGTCCTTTTCGTCTATAGTATTCTCAAAGACAATCGTCCTCCGTCGTGTTGTCCTCGCATTGAAAGGCCTCACTGGTTTTATCGAAGGAATTGTGAATCGATCTCTCTTTCTCTCTCTCTCTCTCTCTCTCTCTCTTTCTTTCTCTCTTTCTACGTGTCTATCTATCTTACCATTTCGTTTTTTTTTTCTCTTCTCTATCTATCTCTCCTCTCTTCGTTTTGGTCTTCCTTCGATATAACTGAACGTTCGATTACTTTTCGCTTTTATATCAACTTCGTCGTTCGTCCTTCTATCGAATACAAATAGGAAGTTGGAAGATGAGAATGGGAACGCGCAATGTCTCAGTAAGGAAGACCGAGGCAAGAAAGTCTAGTCCACTTATGATATATACCTAACTCTATATATCTACAGATTATATATATATATATAGTATATATGTACCACCATTATAGGGTGTCCTACTTTAAAATGGACCATATCATTATTCACGATGATATCTCATTTTGATCGAAATATCTGATTCTTTTATCTTTTTAATTATTTTTTTTTTTTTCATTTCGAATTACCACACTTAAATTCTCTTTGTGATTCTTGTTTTATCGGTTTTTTTTCTTTTTTCTTTTTTTTTAATATTTTTTTTTTTTTTTTTTAAATTACCAAGATCAAATTTGAAAACGAAACGGACAATCGAGTAATTGTTGATTACTTTTAATCATATTTAAAATACGATAATACGACGAACCGAAGGATCGAGGATAAAGTCTTGAAATTTCATGAAACATGGATATATACAATGGATAAAATCGAGCAAGGCGTTCTCATGGAGAGATTTTGCAAACGTAAAGGAAAATGTCTCGTACATTCCTACTTCGATGGATCTTCCTTCTCCGTTTTCTTCTATTCGTCCGAATAACGTCGCTTTCACGGGTTTTACATTTTTGTTAGGGGCAAAAGCTTGACTCCCCTACGGGCGAGAGTGGAAAACGCTGGCGCAGCCACACGTCAGATTTCTCTCTCTCTCTCTCTCTCTCTCTCTCTCTCTCTCTTTCTCTCTCTCTCTCATTCTCTCAAATGCACACATACACATATTTTCGTGAAAGAACGACGAAACGCCTTGAGGGTAGAGAAAAAGTACCGCTGTTGGCGACGCGCGCCGAGAATCGTAAAGCTCGGTGAATTTGAATGAAATAAATCCGAAGGGATGAAACTTTTGAATTATTTCTTTCGTAAGAGTAAAAGAATTAGAAAAAGAGAAACGATTAACAAGAGAAAGAGATAGATAGATAGGAAGAGAGAGAGAGAGAGAGAGAGAGAGAGAGAGAAAAAAAGAGAAATGATTAACAAGATAAAGAGAGAAAGATAAATAGATAGATAGATAGATAGATAGAGATAAAGAAAGAAGATGAAAATCATGCTTATTATTTAAGGAATCGAGGGACATACCTCTGCGAATGGCAGCGGGACTGGGGGTGGCAAGAACAAGAAAAACAAGAACGAACAACCCCCAGCCCCAATTCCTCGAAAGCATCGTTGCTGTCATCGTTCGATAGAGCGACCGCTGCCGGTGAGATTGTCAATCCACCTGCGGCTCTCCTTCTTCCTGCACCTTCATTTGCCTTTCTCCACCTGCGTACACAATGCAGTATGGTTACAACCCTTACTTTGTCACCCTCTTCTCTCTTTCTCTCTCTCTCTCTCTCTCTTTCTCTCTCTCTGTCTATCTTTCTCTTTCCCTTACTTCTCTCTCTCTCCCTCTTTATCTTATTTATATATATATATATATATATATATATGCAAGTTTCTTTGGGATCTACGACAACACGGTTTTACGATCCCTTTCATCTCTTTTGTATACAGACAAAGTCATGTAACTCATTACAACCTGGTAGTATCTCGATAACTGCTCGAGAAATACATCAAAGAAGAAAGTTAGTTGGAGTTTCTACGATGTTGTTATATCTCTTTTATCATATAATAACGTTATATAATCTGTTTAAATGATTTACATATAAAATAAAAAATAAATAAATGAATGAGTAAAAATAGGAGAAAAAAAAACAAAAAAAAAAAAACCAAAGGAAAACAAAAACAAGAAACAATGAAAATCTCGCGATACCGTGATCGAGGAAATACGCGTATATGAAATAAATTACTTTCACTTTCCAATAATAATAATAGTAATAATAATAATAACAATAATAATAATAATAATACTATTATTATAATACTCATATAATATTCGTATTATATGAATATTATAGTATTCTGTAGCCGGTAGACAAAAAGCTATTGTAATCACTCCCTGAAGCATGAAAACTCGAGGAAACTAGGAGCATCTAATATCCCCCTAGTCGCCTCCACCCTAAACTCCCCACACCCTACCGCCCTCCCTCGCCTAGCCACTCCTTCCGTCTTTCTCATATACCCGAAGATTAATGGGACACAAAGTCGAATTTTCGGAGGACGGAACGATATTCGTGCGTCCTAGTTCGTTGGAAGTGCTGATTGCGGACGGAAGAGAGTCGCTAACGGAAACTCGTGCCGTCTAGTTAGGAGGAACGCTGAAAATAAAAGGAGGCCAGAGAGTCGTCCGGGGGTTCTGCACGAGTGGATGGATTACGTGGAAGCCTCGAGAGTCCCTCGTTTCCATACAAAGATTCCAATACCGATTTGATCTTCCATCTCTCTCTTTCTCTCTCTCACTCTCTCTCTTCCTCTTTCTTTCTACATTTCTACCTATTTTTCTACACCTATCTCCCTACCTTCCCCTATCACTATCTCTATTTCTCTTATCTTCTTTGCCCATATTTTTTCCCCTCTCCTTTCTTTCCTTTTTTTTCTTTTTTCTTTTTTTTTCTTTCAAATTAATCAGGGATATACCGAAGACGTTACCATGAAACCCTCCTAGGAAACTATTTAAGCGGTTGAATGTACCATGATGAGTTACATACGAACGAGCACGCAAAACACCGGAAGTGTCTCGTTCGGTACCCTCGGACCCCTTCTTCGGTCGTTTACTCGAGAGATAGAGGCGATAATTCCCGATAAATCCTTGTGTTTATGTGTCCCCTCTTTAAATATCGTACGAGACTATTACTACTACTACTATTACTATTATTATTATTACTACTACTACTACTACTACTACTACTACGTCCACTTTCTTCTTATTCACTTATTACGATCTCCCTACGATCTCCTGTCGTTCATACGATCCTTTTATATATTTATATATTCCCTTTATATTAGCAATGTTAAATGTCAATGTTTTGGTTCGATTAAGTGTTAAAAAGAAGAAAGAAAAAAAAGGAGAAAAGAAAAACGAAGAAAAAAAAAAAGAAGGAAGAAGAAAAAATCCTTTTTCCGACGGTGATAGAATCTTTTACAAAAATGCGAATAAAACGCGACGATCAGCTTCGAGCATCAAAGAGTTCACGATTTTTGAAATAGAAACTAGTCGATGTATATATATATATATATATATATATATATATATATATATATATGTATATCTATATGTACATATATATATATATTTTTCCTATGAGATAGGAAGAGATAGAGGCTATTCCGTGGCATCTTTTATTCACGAGTTTCAACGTTGCTAGCGTCGCCGCGAGACAAATCGCGAGATACGCCTAACTTTCCACAAATTCTTTTTTCTCCTTTGTCTTTCCCTCTCCCACTCTCCTCTTGTCCCTCCTCACCCTCTCACTCTCACTCTCTCTCTCTCTCTTTCTCTATCTCTCTCTGTCTTTGTCTTTCTTTTTTCTCGAAGCTTTTCCAGTTCTCTCTTCATCTTTCTCGCTAAGCTTCCCCGTCGAGCTTTATCGTCTACGTTCCGTTGCTCATCGTGCGAGAAAACTATCGACCGGAACACCGAAAGAGCTCCGCGTGCCTCGCGACTGAATGCCAGAGTTAGAAAGAGAGAGTATGTATGAGAGAGAAAGAGAGCAACAGAGAGAAAGAGAGAGAGAGAGAGAGAGAAGATGAACGATGAAGAGGAAAATCGTTCGACGAAAAGAAAAAAAAAAACAAGAAAGAAAGAGAGACGTTCAGGAAGAAAAGATTTTCGCATTGAAAGATAATGCAACGTGTATATAAAAATAATCTCTCTTTAATAGCAGTAGTAGTAGTAATAACAGAAGAATAAAAAGAAGGAAGAAATAACAGAATGAAAAAGAAAGCAAGTTCGCGAATATTTTTATCCCCGTTACTCGGTTCAATTAAGTCGACTGAACGTAATAACAAAATGGACTTCGAGATTTGAATTAATCGTCACGGCGAATAAATCCGTAAGGCGAAATGATTCTAATAATTTAACGTGTACGTAATGAGGACGTGAGAAAGGCAGAAGAGAAAAGAGGCAAAAGAGAGGGAAAAAGAAGAAGGGAGAAAAAAGGAAAAAAGAAGGAGAAATAAAATGGAAAAGAAAAAGAAATGGAAAAGTAAAAGGAAAAAAAAAAAATAATAATAATAATAATAATAATAACAAAGGAAAGAATAAAAGGAAAAAAAGAAACAAAAGAACAAAGAGAAAGAAGTGGTAACAGCAGATGAAGAAGCAGAAAAAGAAAAAAAGAAAAGAAGAAGAAGAAGAAGAAGAAGAAGAAGAAGAAAAAGGAAGGAAATCAAGTTCGTTAGCTCGCTCGAGCGCGCTCATTTGCGGCCATCCGTAGATTCTCGCGGTGAAAGCTCGCGATAGTCCGAGGCGATATCGACTCTCTTTCCTCTTCGTATGGCAGCGGGTATATATGCAGCTGCTATCCCGACGCAACGAAAGAGCTTTTCGCTCTTTCTCGATGCACCACCACCAGCACGACATCTTGCGAGTTACGTTAAGTTCGACGACCCTCCGGAGCCCTTCGTCGCCGGATAGAAGAAGAAAGATTTCTGTGATGACGATGACGATGACGATGACGAAGGCGACGGCGACGGTGACGACAACGGCGGCAACGACGATGATGACGACGGCGATGTCGATATCAGGATGATGATGATGGTAATGATGACGAGGACGACGACGACGACGACGACGACGACGACGACGACGACAATGACGAGGAGGACGACGTGGACGATCAACTTCAAACCCGTTCCTAATCCCTGACGATTGTCCACTTCTCTCGTTCTGCTTTCCAAATATCAATACGATGACGATGACAACTCGATTATAACAAAACAATATCAGAATTGTTTTACGTTAATAGGGCATAATTGAAAAATCGAAAGAATATGAAGAAAAAGAGAAAAGAAAAGAAGAGACAAAGAAGAAGGGAAGAAAAAATAGATCGGCCCTTCTGACAATCTTTCTTAGAGTTGGGGTAACACGAGTCCTATCTATCTCCTGTCGTAGGGTGATGGGGTGGGATAGGGTTAGGGTTAGGTAGAGGTAGGGGGCAAACAGAGAGAGAGAGAGAGAGAGAGAGAGAGAGAGAGAGAGAGAGAGAGAGAGAGAGAGGGAAGAACAACAAAAAAAAAAAAAGAAATGAAACTAATGGATGGTGTTTCTTTCTTTTTTCTTTTTTTTTCCTCTCTTGTTTTTTTTTCTTTTTTTTTCCTGTTTTCTTTTTTCTTTTTTTTTTTCTTTTTTTTTTTTTTTGAAACGTTTTAAGAAAACTCCGCTGACTTTTGCTTTTGGCAACAATTCTCGATGCAAAAACACTTGGACGCACCGAACGAACTAAATTAACGAACGAACGAACGTACGAACAAACGAATGAACGAACGAACGAATGAACGAACGAATGAACGAACGAACGAACGAACGTACGAACGAACGAACGTACGAACGAACGAACGAACGAACGAACGTACGAACGAAACGATGCCGTAGCGATTTGAAAGCTAGGTCGCCGTCGACTGCTGTCCCAAAAGCTTGGAACGTGGCTAGCTTAGTGTTCGATGCATCAGACCGAAGCTTGCGCAAGCTCCCTGCGCCCTTTCCCTCTTCTTTCCCTCCTACCTTCACCTCTCGGTGGCCCTCTTTCTCTCCCTCGTGCGCTCTCTCTCTCTCTCTCTCTCTCTCTCTTTCTCCTCATCCTCCTACTCCTCCTACACCTCCTACACCCTCCTCTACATCCTCATCCTCCTCTTTCTCCTCCTTCGTATCGTCAGGATACGGGAAGTGGCGCGCGCTGCAGCCGTTCCATACGCGTGCGTCCTTTGTTTATTAAGCGAAATACAACGATATCCTCCTATTCCTCCTCATCCTCCTTTACTTCTATTCCCTGCGTGATTACTTCGGCATCTTCTTTTCTATTTCTCTCTCTCTCTCTCTCTCTCTCTCTCCCTCTCTTTCTCTCCTTTTTTTATTTTTTTTTTTTTACTCTTTCTCTTGCTTTTTTACTCTTTTAAATTGCTATTCGGTATTTCGAAATGGACGAGACGATTGTCGAGATGTCGATTTTGAATATTTCCATTGAAGAAAAATTTTATAACGATTTTGTCGTTATTGGTTGGTTAAAAAAGAGAAAGTGAAAAAGGGCAAGATAGAGAGAGAGAGAGAGAGAGAGAGAGAGAGAGAGAGAGAGAAACGTAGGAACAGAAAGATAGATAGAGAGAGAGAGAGAGAGAGAGAGAGAGAGAGGGATAGAGATAGAGAGATGTAGAGGAGAAGAGAGGACGCGCGTTAATCCCGAACCGATCGATCCTCAATTAGTAAATTACTACGTGCTACTGCATACGGGCTGTGTGTATTCGTTGAAAGAACACGAACGAAACCATTCCAAAACGTATCTCAAAAATATTTACGCAGCTACGATGTTATTTTCTTTCACTCTCTCTCTCTATCTCTCTCTCTGTCTTTCTTTCTTATTTTCTCTCAGATTTATTACTAATAAAATTCTCTCTATCGATCTATTCCCATCAATTAAGAGCCAAAGAAAATCGGCAGAGTCCAATTAATAATTTTCTATTTTAAATCACTGATACTTTTACGTTGGCTCTTCCTTCTTTTTTCCTTTTCTCATTTTTTCTTCTTCTTCTTCTTCTTTTTTCTTTTCTTTTCTTTTCTTTTTTTTTTTCCTTTTTTTACGTACCTACTGCAAAGTTCCCAAATTAAAATTAATCAAAATTGATTAGAAAATATACTCTCTCGCGATTTATGTATTAATGAAGGGAGAAGAGTTAAGAAAAAAAGGAAGAGGAGAAAAAAAGAAAAGCAAAAAAAAAAAAAAAAAAAAAAAAAATAGCCGGAGATATCGAACAAAAGCCAAATGATTTGCATATCGGTAAAACGCTTCGTGACTCTTTTTTTCTTTAATTTATGCAACTCCAATATTAGCGCAGTGAAATTTTTTCCTTAGAAAAGAGAAGAAAACAGAAAGAGAAAAGGAAAGAAGGAGAGGAGGAAACGAAAAAACGAGAAAAAGAGAGGAAAAAAAAAAAAGGAAAACAGAAAAACTTCCTCAAGATCTTTATCAATGAAGAAAACCAACGGACCGTTCAAAACGAAAATGATTTCCATTCCGTTTCCCTCCCTTTCCCCTTCCTTCACCGGTTGTTTATATACACGATGGTTTTGTAACGTACACGCGCATTTTACTGTCCGTCGACGTTTCCGAAGCATTTTATACAAAATATATCTCTTTCATGAATATGCATGCGAGACTCTATTTAGTTAGAACGCGTATTGAACGCGTCCGCATAAGTATCCGCTATGAATATCCATTAGAAGTGATTTTTGTCGAAGGTTCGACGTATATGTATCGTGCCTTGTTGTTGCCCGTATCCAAGAGCGAGATACACATATACATACATACATCCATACATACTTACATACATACATATATATACATACATACATACATACATACATACATACATACATACATACATCCGTATCGTCGATACGGACTTTCAATATCCTTCTTTTCCATTCTCGACAATGGAGCCTTCTCTCCGATATACATACATACATACATACATACATATATGCATATGTATGTATGTATGTACGTATGTACGTATACCTACGAAGTATGCTGAATGATGATGATGGCCGATTTTTTCTATTTTCCTATCAGTTCGTTTGCTTCGTTTATTTATTCCTTTTTTTTGCTCCCTTTTCTTTCCCCACCCAGTCTCTTTCTTTCTCTCTCTCTCTCTCTCTCTCTCTCTCTCTCTCTCTCTCTCTCTGTTCTTGTTTTTCTCTGTTCTTGTTTTTTCAAGAAGAGAACAACACGACCATTGTAACTTTTCAAAGATATTGGCGCTTTCCTAAGAAACGTACCAGTAGGTTGTCCAGAAAGTAAAAGAAAGTATAGTCACATAGTGAGACTTTTTCTTCGTTAACGTCTTCGCCAGCCGACGACTAAAAAAAGGTCGACATCGATTCGATCCAACTCCAAAGATAACGCCTGTCCAGAAGCTGATTCTTACAAACGGATACAAACTATCTCTTTCCTTTACGGGACGACGCTCGTCGATGTACGATGTCATTACAAGATAGATAAGAAACGTCTCGGAGAATGATATCTATTCGAAGAAAGAATCTTACTTTTGGAATTTAGAAAACTCGAAGAAAAAGGAATAGATAGATAGATAGATAGATAGATAGATAGATAGATAGATAGATAGATAAATAGAGTATGTGCATACGCAGAAACAATACCTTCGGAATTGAAATTTCTATTTTTTCGTATGATCGAAAAGAACGTTCCATAGATCGATAGCAAAGACCGAGATGACGATCGAGAGATAAGTTCCAATATGTAACGAGTCGGAAAAACAGTAAGATGAAGGAGAAGAAAGAAAAGCAAGAGGAGGTAAAGGAGGAGGAAGAGGTGAAAGAGATGTAGAAGCTTGGGAAATAACGGAAGGAAGGAAGAGAGTAAGTTTCAATGAAAACCGACTGCGGCTTTTCAAACTTGTGGACCAATTAGACTCCAATTTGTTCTGGAAGGCGGCAGACGAGGTCTCGGCCGCAAAACGGACGTCTAATTAAAGCCGTACGCTTCAGTATTCCAGTAGACACCGAGTTTAGATGGTTTCTATGTATATAGAAAATATATACATATATATATATATATATATATATATATATAGTACGTATGCATATAATATCATTCCAAAACCAACGATGTTTCCGATGAAAGATATTTGCTATTTCCAAAGAGAGAGAGAAGGAAAGAGAAAGAGAAAGAGAGAAAGAGAGAAAGAGAGAAAGAGCGAGAGAGAGAGAGAGAGAGAGAGAGAGAGAAGATACCCCATAGATTATACTCCTTCATTTTAGAGATTTAACTTCTTTTCCCTTTGATCGGAGTAAACAATTTTAACTCTCGAAAGTCTGTTTTCCTTCTCGCGTTTCCATTACACCAACTACGAAGACGTCTTTTTTTTTTATTTGTTTATTTTTCTTTTCTTTTCTTTTCTTTTTTCTTTTTTTTTGTTTTCCTTTTTTTGTTTCTCTTTCCCTTCTATTCTTTCTGTTGGTAGAAATCAACTTTCACGATGCTTTCGGAAACTTTCAAAATTCATGGATAATACTTGAAACCGGAATAGTTCTGATCTGAACAAATGGTTTCCCTTTTCTTTTTTTTTTTTTTTTTTTTTTTTTTTTTTCTATTATTAGATATCTTATGTATTCCTCGTCACCGAAGGATAAGCCAAAGGATATGGGTTTTTTATAGGACGACATAGTATAAAAGCAATTAACCAAATGGACTTGACATATTTCTTTAGATCCTTACTGTCCTTATCGTTAATCCCAAAAACCTTGACGTTATGGTTTAACAACCATTTATTGTACGTCCATTGGATTTATACGTATGTCATAAATAATATGGATCTTTGTACGAGGCAAAATAATATATTCTATACCTCTATTTCCTATCTTTTGTCCTGTACCCGAATCATATCTTTGGTCACAACTTTCCAAACAAAGGAGAGCTTTAACTGAAGCAAGATAATTATTATTAACAATGTCTAGTTTCTCCCTTTCCCCCTCCCCCATCCCCACTATCGTCACACTAAAAACGAAGATTATTCAGACTTGACAATCGGTCGACCATCATCAGTGACAGTCGCTATTTTCGAGACCGACCGAACAGATCTTCTCGATGTAACTATCATCTCGTCTCTGTGTTATACATTGAAAGTGCTCTGTGTAATTTCGTCAGTACTGAAGTAATCGCAGGAAATGACATCTTTTATCTTAGATTTGCCAATAATGGATCAAAACGTTTATGTGAATTCAATCGCTCAACGGATTACTAAGATCTCTATTCTATTTGTTTTGTGATGTGAGAATGAGAAAAAGAGAGAGAGAGAGAGAGAGAGAGAGAGAGAACGATAACGTATCGTAATGTAACCTTTGGAAATAGACAAGTTGGATCAACGACAAAAGGGTTAAAGACTCCATTCGCTCTGTCAGC